TTTGATCACCAAAATCTTCGCTCTATCATCTTTCCGCACATGGATCACGCAGCTCTTCGTCCAGATATACTTGTAGTTTTTATTTCTCGCGATTTCTCGCACCTTACTACAGAGGTCCATGTTACGAGCTGTAAGATGTTCATTAATGTAAAGATTATCCGCAACGTCGGGAATCAACAGACAGCGGCCATTGGCACTGCGACGATATAATTTGGCCGCGCTAAAAATACGGTCACGTGTTATTCTGGAGGTGAACTTTACTATAATGGCCTTAGCGCGCGACTTGTCTTTTCCTGGAGATGGTCTTTGAGGCAAGCGATGAACTGCATCTATATCGGAAGCCACAATAGGAGATTTGATAGCTTCCGCAATGTTGGACACAATTTCGGGAAGATTTTCTCCTACATGTTCGGGAACTCCCGCGATGATCAGATTATTGAGCCGCGAATACTGCTCGAGGTGATCAAGGCGACACTCCGCAGCAGCTAGATCAGCCTTAAGTTTAGAATTTACAGCGACCAGCGCATCGACTTGCTTAATCTTATCACCGAAATTGTTAAGGGCTCGCTCGAAATCAGTGATTTTGTCGCCGTAGAAGGAAATTGACTTAACAATCTCGTCGTATTTGTTTGATAAATTCTTTACATCATTCTGAATAGATGATAAGAGACGGTACAGTTGAGCATTGCTAGGGCCACTAGATGACTGGGAATCAGAGATTTCATCGTCAATTATGACGGATTTATCCAAATTTCCTCGACATTTGGAACATTTCCAAAAGACACCCTCCGCCTTAATTTGTTCAAGCGCATCGGACGAAATTTTTATGCATTTGGCGTGGAAGTTCCCGTGGCAGCCGCCGCACTGAAGGCCAGGACTCTTGGATGACAGGCGAGACGAGCAGATCTTGCACCCCGACATCGATACGGGGATTCCGGTTCCAACGACAGGACAAAGGTCAACACGAGCGAATACGACAACGCGGCGGAAGAAAGAATATGTAAAAATAGATATATTAATCCTTCGAAAAATGTTGAATGCAAAACCGAACAAAATCAAACACCACGCTGACCAGCTCCCGCGGGTGAATGTAAAAAACAAAAAAGAAGCCTCAAATATAACAATCGCACAACACTACTTAGAAACTCAAGAGACGCGATTATGCGACCGTACACCTCGCACGTTTTTGAAACATACAATAGATAGTATGCAAGCTGGATAGCAATACAACAGTCTTACCCTTTTTTAGCACGTAGGGGACAAGGGTTTCGTTTCTTGTATAACCGAAAATGCTATTACACTGTGCTCTACGTTTTGGCAAAGCAAAACTTGGTGGTAATTCTCTCTTGTTTTTTCGGACAGTTCCAACGTATGATATTTTCTTCTTTTCCAAAGCTTCTGCGGTAATGTTTCTTTCGCTTCCATAAATTGGCTCTGAAATTCGCATGACAATATCTTCTGCAGAATTACTTTTTTTGTAAGGTCCGTCAGGTTATTGGCCGCAATAGATCTCCATGTTGGCAGTATAAAAAAGCTTTGCGTCAGCAAGACAAAAGATTTTTATACCATATTTTGTTGGCTTTGACGGTATCTATTGCCGGAAACCACAACGACCACGAAATGCTGGAAGCATTTCATCAATAGTGACGTTTTCGCCTAAATTGTAATGTAATTTGCAGTTCTCAATAAATAAAACAAATATTTCACGAACTTCCGCTAACTTGTCAGTTTCACACCTTCTTTGTCGTGTAGATCGGTCATCAAATCGGATGCATCGCATAAGGAAACGAAATCGTGAAATTGACAACTATTCTAAAGATCCTAAGCCATCAGTTACCTAAAAATCACAAATATTTTGACCGCCTCGAAAAACTCCTGCCAAGTATAACAACCCCAGTAAAGCTTCAATTTCATTAATGTCAGTGGGGTTGCAATCTCGATCGCCGACAAATTTTTCTTTTATATTCAATATGTACTTATTTGTAGTTTAACTATGATGCTCAATATATTATTATCAAAAAATTACTTCCAACAATCCTGTTCGCTTTTAGTATCTTTTGCAAATCAACCCGGCGTAGTAGGCCGGGTAATTTTACTAAAACATTATATGGGCGTGCCAGAGTTCGTTTCCATGGTGTCGTTTTCCATTGTGTGCCATCTTTACCTACCAAAAGTTTATCTTTGCAACGAACCATTTATCCAAAGAAACTATGTTTACTTACCGATATAATAACCAGCTTCTTGATCTTCATCATCCTCATTTTCATCATCATTGTCCATGTCATGATCCGTATCAGAGTCAACAGGTCTCTGTTTAATGTTATCTTCAGTTTCTGAATCATGTGATTCTTTGAAATCGTCATCCGGTAAAGTCACATTTTCATCAATTTCTTCAAAAACTAAGCGATTTACCTGATCTACATCAGCGGCATTACCAAAGTCATAACAACGCTTTTTGTCCATTCTTATACACTTACTAACAATAAACCAAAAAAGTTGTCTATTCTATAAGGAAACTATTGAATATGTGCGTGAATTGCTCAATAAACATCCGTCGAATAACTGAGACGTAAATCCCCCAATGGGATTCCCATNACGACCACGAAATGCTGGAAGCATCTCATCAATAGTGACGTTTTCGCCTAAATTGTAATGTAATTTGCAGTTCTCAATAAATAAAACAAATATTTCACGAACTTCCGCTAACTTGTCAGTTTCACACCTTCTTTGTCGTGTAGATCGGTCATCAAATCGGATGCATCGCATAAGGAAACGAAATCGTGAAATTGACAACTATTCTAAAGATCCTAAGCCATCAGTTACCTAAAAATCACAAATATTTTGACCGCCTCGAAAAACTCCTGCCAAGTATAACAACCCCAGTAAAGCTTCAATTTCATTAATGTCAGTGGGGTTGCAATCTCGATCGCCGACAAATTTTTCTTTTATATTCAATATGTACTTATTTGTAGTTTAACTATGATGCTCAATATATTATTATCAAAAAATTACTTCCAACAATCCTGTTCGCTTTTAGTATCTTTTGCAAATCAACCCGGCGTAGTAGGCCGGGTAATTTTACTAAAACATTATATGGGCGTGCCAGAGTTCGTTTCCATGGTGTCGTTTTCCATTGTGTGCCATCTTTACCTACCAAAAGTTTATCTTTGCAACGAACCATTTATCCAAAGAAACTATGTTTACTTACCGATATAATAACCAGCTTCTTGATCTTCATCATCCTCATTTTCATCATCATTGTCCATGTCATGATCCGTATCAGAGTCAACAGGTCTCTGTTTAATGTTATCTTCAGTTTCTGAATCATGTGATTCTTTGAAATCGTCATCCGGTAAAGTCACATTTTCATCAATTTCTTCAAAAACTAAGCGATTTAGCTGATCTACATCAGCGGCATTACCAAAGTCATAACAACGCTTTTTGTCCATTCTTATACACTTACTAACAATAAACCAAAAAAGTTGTCTATTCTATAAGGAAACTATTGAATATGTGCGTGAATTGCTCAACAAACATCCGTCGAATAAGTGAGAAGTAAATCCCTCGATGGGATACGTGCATGAATGCAACACAAAAACGGATCAATATATTTTTATTCTTATTTTTATATAAAATTGATACTTATTAGAAATACACAACTAAACAATTTACTAACACGTAAATCAAAAGGATATCTAAACAATAAAACTACCGAATATGTGCGTGAACTACCGGATCAACGTTCGCCGAAAAAAGGAAACGTAAATACACGCGCTGGGATTTTCAGTCCCTAATCATGTACGCGCGGCATTGTTTGAGTGTTTACAAAGTAATAAAACTGATCCTTCGTTTGAAACTCATGTAAAGGGTTCCTAAAACATCATTTTGAGATCTCAAAAATCCACAGTGTCGTAGCTGTAATAGTTTTTACGTAATTACAGAAATGATAAGGCATGAGACTGCCAGTCCCATACGCGTCTATTCAAGGGTTAAGGGTGTGTGCGACACATGAAATGTGTTGATATTGCAATAATCGCACTACAGCTGTAATGTTAACTGCATTGTCTGTCACCATTGCCACAATTTTGCGATTGCGACGACAAACTAGACTAATACTAGCACTAGAACTGTAGTATAGGTTACCATTCTTACTTGTATTGTATGTAGGCGCTGTGCGCACGACGATTTGAATAAA